GTTGGCATAAACACATAGACACAGGTACAAGACCATAGACAATCCTTCTGTGGCAGATAAAGCTAACCACATCCCCATCAAAAAGGAAACCTGGGAAAGAATATTTTAGGGGGTCATGTCACCCAGCTTAGATAACTAATAGAGAACCAATAGAGATAACTACTATACAGCTGATATTTCTTATATAAATAAGCCAAAAAACAATGAAATACTCCTTAGCACAATAATGCCAGGAGTAGTCACATTAGTAAAAGGAGTATGATTTTATCACATTATACTAGGCTGGTTGTCTTGGGGAATACTTACTTTAATAAAAGATGTTTGCTTCTCAGGTAATTGTGAGAAAATTGGGCATAGCTCTCACTAATCTGGAATTTGAGTATCTACTCTCTCCCACCTTATGAAAGCAGAAAGAAAAGCAGCTTAGTCCTGTCCTTTCAGGTTGCAGTTCCTGGGTAAAAGAAATTCTCCCTGATAAAATGGCCTACAGCCAAGGAAACAGAATTTCAATTAAGGTGAAAAGAATTTCCTGAGGAAAATGTAGAGAGATAATGCCCTGAAAAACTGGCCTGGCCAAGCAGGCTACAGTGAGGGGACAGAGGGAGAGCGGTTGTTAGGGGAGAAGGTTGGGAATACAGTATATGTATCTAAGGCTCTAAGGTCTTTTCCTCTTGCGAAATTCAAAGTAACAAGTAAGCTGTATAAATCCCCTACATCTGTTCTTAGACCATACTTGACAAAATGTACCTGACCCTTAGCTGAAATAATTGTACACTTCTGCATAGTCCAATTACTAGTCCTAAAGGTAGGTGAGGTCGTATGTATGTACCTAGGAAAGAGATGGCAGCTACTTTTCAATTATCTTACAGAGAATCCAGCAGAGAAATCACTAAAGAGACACCTGCTCCTTCTATTGATTATCAGTATATTATCTCTTAGTATTGTTAAAACAAGATTTATAGGATGCAGCTGCTCAAATTTCCCAAGCATGGAATTTCCTACTTTATCTCATAGATCAACAAGACACCATCCTATAAAACAGTAAAAGAAGGGTTTACCACATGCTACTTACTGCTCTCTAAGCAAAGTTACAAGTGACAAGAGTTTTAAATTATGCTACATGTGGCTCAGTATATTTTAATTTTGTTTCAAAATTACTGTTTGTTTTTTAACTTATGTCTTATGGTATTCAGCTAAAAACTAAGAATAATGGAGTAAAGATCATGGTTATTACCCTCGAGCAGTTCACATTTTAGTGGGGCTGCCAGATAAGTTAACACTAACTACAATACAGAATCACTATAAAAGTCATTAAGGAGTCAGAGAAGAAAAACCTGAGAAAGCGTAGAGTCAGTGAACAACTTAACTTTAGCTGAATCTCAAAAAATAAGTATGAATTAGCCAAGTTAAAAAATAAAACAGTATACTGGCAAAAGTGTCAGCAGATACAGAGGCACAGAGTTGAGTGAGCATGAACTTAGGAAAACTGTAAAGTTGAAATTGCTGAAATGTAGATAAAGTGGAGGTGGAGGTGTGGGTGACGAGGCAAGGCCCATAACATGAAGAACATTATGAACCATGTTAAGGAGTTTAGATTTTAACCTTGATGTTACCAGGGCTCCCCACACCCCAACAAATAACGTAGTAAGTCTTAGAAGAACCACTCTAGCCACAAGATAGAAGATGGATTGAAGACTGAAATAAGGAGAAACCAGTAATATTTTATAGTTTTAATTCAAAATAGAAATAATGAGAGCTTGAACTAAGTCAAGGCCTGCTAAATGGAAAAGAGGAACCAACCAAAGAGGCACTGAGAAGATAGAATCATTAGCTGTTAATGATCAACAGGAGTAATCGGGGAGAAAAGAAAGAACCTAGAAAAATTAACATTAAAATTTGAAAAAAAAATAGAAAAAAAAAGAAAGAAAGAATCTAGAATAATTCCAAAACTTAAAGTTTATCAGAGACTAATAAGGAATTTTTAAAAACAGACCAGGACTACTGGAAAAAATTATGAGCTCAGACACTAAAAACTTCAGATACCAGAGACTGTCTAGGTAGAAATGTTCAAAAAAGTACTGGGTTATGACTCAAGGACATCAACAACAAAAAACAAAGAATTAAAAAGAAAAGAAAAATAAACAAACAAAAGTGACCGGCAGTGTTGAAAGCCAAAAGATTGGGAGAAAGCTCATCTTAGAGAGATAAATCACCCATATCTCTAAAGATTTCCTTCTGGTAGTCATCAGAATCAGAATATGGATAGTGGTCTATGGACACAAATAAGAAAGTACATATGAGAAAAGCAACAAGCAAAGGATGGAAAGTACAGTATATAAACATTTAAAGATGTTTAGAATGAGGACTCAGCTCTGATTTGTTTTACCTTGCGCAAATTCCTATCTAAGAGGTCTAGGGAGTCATGTCCTACAAACCAATAAATTCTCATCAGAAGAGTTTTATTTAACCCTATATATCATGGTTTACTTTCCAGTCGGACTCTGGCATAACATTATGAGACAAGGAAGAAAATCAAAATGTTTTACCCAAAAATATATTTCCTTGCCATACCTTGAAATTGCCCTGCAAAGTCTCTTGTGGGAAAAATCCACATTCTATAGAGAATACCCTTTTCCCTTTGTTTTCCTTTCTTTCCAGATCCAGGATATAATCAAGTAAGAGCCACACACCTTTTTAGGTCTGGTAAGAAGCATTTTACAACCTGCTGTCTCTCTGAAGTCTGCTATCTGAGAGTTTCCTCTGCACAATAAAACTTGGTCTCCACAATCCCTTAACCTAACCTAAACATTTCCTTTGATGCCTGGTCTTCATGTAAACTCAACAAATTGTCAACCAGAAAATGTTTAAATTTACCTATAGCCTGGAAGCTCCCACTTTGAGTTGTGCCGCTTTGAAAGAAACCAATGTATTTCTTATGTGTATTTGATTAATGTCTCATGACTCCCTGAAATACATAAAACCAAGCTGTACCCCAACCACCTTGGGCACCTGTTCTCAGGACCTCCTGAGGGCTGTGTCACGGGCCATGGTCACTCATATTTGGCTCAGAATAAATCTCTTAAAATATTTTACAGAGTTTGACTCTTTTCGTCAACAAGAAGCATAAAAACATTTAAAGAAGACCATGAAGGACTCCTTGGAGAGGGGGAGAAAATGATGCTCTGATTCAGCATTTAACAAATGTTGGCTGGGCGCGGTGGCTCACGCCTGTAATCCCAGCACTTTGGGAGGCCAAGGTGGGTGGATCACGAGGTCAAGAGATCGAGACCATCTTGGTCAACATGGTGAAACCCCGTCTCTACTAAAAATACAAAAAGTTAGCTGGGCATGGTGGCGCGTGCCTGTAATCCCAGCTACTCAGGAGGCTGAGGCAGGAGAATTGCCTGGACCCAGGAGGCGGAGGTTGCGGTGAGCCGATATTGCGCCATTGCACTCCAGCCTGGGTAACAAGAGCGAAACTCCGTCTCAAAAAAAAAAAAACAAAAAACAAATGTTTATTAGGTCCCAACCACATGCCAGCCACTCTTCCAAGACAGTAGTTGGAAAAAGAACCAGGAGAAAATGATGTTACATTTTGGAAAGAGGTGTTTCCAAGAAGAAGGGGGTCAGTTTTGTCAAAATTAAGAATTGCAAAGTGTCATAAGTGGTCATTGTTAGCTATCTATGACTATTACTGGGGGAATTAGTGCTTATAGTAGCTCAAATCCATTAAAATAAAGACATAGAATAAGCTGCAAGAATAGTGATATCAGATGCTGTGAAGCAGTATAATTCAAAATTTCAAACACTGACAGAAGACAAATTTGTACTCCACCCCAAGAAACCTAAACCAACCCTTATCTGATGCGTTACATAACAGAATAATAGGATCCTGGCATTTGCTTCAAAATACATAGTGTAGGTATGGGGGAAATTCAGGTTAAGAAAAACCAGCATTTGGATGGTATCAAGCTCCAGAAATCAGAATAGAAAAAGTAGAAAGCAAATTTGATGTATTTATTTAAAGTTTTGTCTAAGTCACTAACTGCAAACCAAATGAGGAGGGCAAATTATCATTCTTATTTTGAAATGGGAGTCTTGCTCTGTTGCCCAGGCTGGAGTGCAGTGGCAGGATCTCCGCTCACTGCAACTCCACCTCCCAGTTTCAAGCAATTCTCCTGCCTCAACCTCCTGAGTAGCTGGGATTACAGGCGCACACCACAATACCAGGCTAATTTTTTTTCTATTTTTAGTAGAGAAGGGGTTTCACCATGTTGGTTGACCAGGCTGATCCTGAAATCCTGACCTCAAATGATCCTCCGCCTCGGCCTCCCAAAGGGATTCTCCTGCCTCAACCGGCTGTAAATAAGTAATTATTTACAGCCGCCACCATGCCCGGCTGTAAATCATTATTTAAATTATCCTTCCCACTCCACTGGTCAAAAATATAGCTTTCCTTTACAAAATGTGGAGAAAAGGGGCTCCCCTGAAGTGTCTTAAAAAAGAAGATGAGGATGGTCAGAAACATCTGAGAGAAAAAAAAACGGAACTATCTTCAAATAATACTGCAAAATAAAAATAAAAATTAAATCTTAGTAAATAAATGTCTCCAGTTAATGGGAGGAAAGGTGTGAGGCAGACAGGATTAAAAAGCAAAGAGACAGCAAGAGGTCCGGGCACAGGATTTGGAGACTCAGAGTCAACAGAGCCAGGAAATCAAAACCCTAGACCTAAACTTACAATCAAAAGTAGGATGCAGACAACTATTGTATCATCAAAAGTCCTAGCCATATGCTCACCAGGCTCGTGAAATGAGACAAGTGATGCCATTAGTCTCACCTGTAACATAAAACGATATGTTTTCCCCGACCACTTCATGTTTTGTTACACTTGCAAAATGGTGGTACTCCGCTCTATGTTTAACTCACAAGCACACAGAAGCGGAGTGGGCTGAAGATGGGACGCCTGTCACAGGAGGTGGGCCTCTCCCTGCAACTTACCTGTCGCCTGCTGCTTCAGGAAAGGTACCTGGTAGGATCCAGGACCCACATGGGCCTCAGTGCTGCCACCTTCAGCCAATTTGAGCAGGCGGGGAGCCCGGTCATACATGGCGCTCGGGGTCGTGGGGGCGCTGGGGAAGGGCAGGTGAGGAAAACGATAAAAAACAAGGCGGCTAGAGGAGGTGTGGAGAAAAAGGAAGCGAACACCACACTGAGGAGGCCGGGACACAGCTTCCGTAAAGAGAGAAAATAGCGTTGGGGTTGTCTCCCCGCCCGCTCATTGGTAGCAGATTTCCTCAAATGGATTTCTAGCCCTGTGGTAAAGTAGAGGGGTGAGCGACTAGAGAGTAAGCATCTCACAAAATCATCAGTTTGCACTCCACGAAAACCGAGGATTCGGGATGAAGATTCCCGCCCGGTGCTTCCGGCCGCCACTCCGCCCACTTCTGTCCGCCCGGAAGCCCGGGGAGGAGGCGGGCCCCGTCTCTGGGGAGCGCAGTGGCCGAGCCCTCAGAGCATGCGCACCGAGCCGCGAGCTTTTCCCAGCTGGCTCCAGTCGGAGCCTTGAGCGCCTCAAACGAGGCGGGACCAAGCCTTGGAGCCCTTTTGACTCGGGTAAGTACTTAGGTCCCGAACTTTTTTAAGAACTGAAGAACCCTAGAAAACGCGTTAGGAAGGTGAGGACTAACTTGACCTTGATTTGTTTCCCGACTCAACAAAACCTAGGAAAGAAAAAAGCAGTAGCATGAAGCGGAGAGCTTGAGTTCCACAAGCGCTCCGCGGCTCCCGCAGCTCCGCTCGTACTCACAGAGAAAAAGCACCTCTGATCTTGTCCCGTAGGTAGTCCAAACTGCTGAGACAAACCCAAGGGTCAGGGCGGTGACGAGAAATGGGAACCCAGAGAAAAAAATCACAAGATATGGGTAAAAAAGGGAAAAAAAGAAATGGGGCACCCGGGGAGGGAGACGAAAAGCTCACAACTGAAGTCGTGCACGTGACTCAAAGCAGCCGCTTTTGTCGGATGCCACACAACCACAATATTGATTCATCTCTGTTTATAAAGCAAAGCGAGGGTACTGAAAAAGCCCAGTCCACCCCCAGTAAACCAGTGGGTCTCAACCTTTGGGCAAAAGAAACCTAGCTTGTCCTTGGGGCTTAAGGAATCTATGTCAGAATCCACCTCTGCTTCTCTCCGGCTGATTTTTCCAGCAAGAATTCTGTCCAGATTCTAAATATCCTCAAAGGCTTAGACAAATCCTACCTTGACCATACCTTGCCTCCAAATGATCTACAGTACTTTAATTTTTCCCTATTCAAAGATTTTATAGTTTTCATACTCTGTAGTACATACACGATTTGCCACTCAATTCTGCGCAACATTTACTGTGGCTTAATTGTGCCCATATATGTTGGGACACTCTCCTTGCAAGGCTATATACTTCTCAAGGATGTATCTGTAATACCTTTTTTTCTGTTCAATAGCTAGCTAAATTATTTGTTCACTTAAAAAACTCGGATTTGTTTATACTATAAGTTCCATATCCTGCTAAGTTATGAGGATACAAAGGCATAAGAAAGTCCCTGTCCTCAGGTGTTCTCTCTCTAATGGGAAAGAGATGTATAATCCAAAATGAGAGTTGACAAAGATTTTTTTTTTTTAATGGTAGGAAAACGAATATTGCAGTATTTTGGAAACCTCTCACCAACTTCAATTCTCCCTGGATCTGGGAGAAACCCTCACAATTCTCTCAATGTTATTTTAACCTTATTTTCGAACCTGTCACCTATACCCATTCAGAAGATCTAGATTTTTACCATGATATATTAGAAAGAGTCACAGAGATTAATGAGAAAATTCATATTCTCTGCATAATAATCTAGTGGTGCTTCTAAATTAGCCCTCTATTGCACATTCCTTAAGGATATCATTTGCCCTTGATGATCCAAACAAGGATGTCAACCCAAACCGCAAACTCAGGTGTAGGCCATGGTTGCTGTAGGCACTGATGCAGACTTCCATGCCCTGTCTGGCCATTCTGTCTGCAGCAGCCTACATTACTCTTTGCTTGGATATACATATTTATTGGAGACTGGAGATGGAAGTGGTAAAGCAGGCTTTATATACTTTCTGTCTGATTTTATTTTCAGCCATTGAACCTCACTTAATTTAGACAAAGGGAGTTTTTTGTAGCATCCCTCCTAGCTCATTTGCAGACCTCTAAGGGAGAGTTTCTGACTGAGTACCAGCTGGGAATACACTGGTTCTTTACCTTGCCTGCCTCCTGGATGAATGCTTTTTCCTCAAAGACTTAGCAGAGAAGGGTAGTTGATCAATGGCAGGAGTCCAGTGTTTCTGGGTCTTCTTGTCAGATCCTATCTAAATATCACATCATTGAAGTGCAACCTACATATTCATAATTTGGTAATACTTGGGCTCTCAAAATTTTTCATTCCTAACAAAAAAAAAAAAAAATCTTTCTTTTAAAAGTTTCTACTATGAGGCCAGGCGCAGTGGTTTACACCTGTAATCCTTAATCCTAGCACTTTGGGAGGCTGAGGCAGGAGGATTGCTTGAGGCCAGAAGTTCAAGACCAGCCTGGGCAACATAGAAAGATTTCCCTTGCACGCACACACACACACACACACACACAATTAAAAATTAGCCAAGCAGGAGTTTGAGATTACAGTGAGCTATGATGGTGCCACTGTACTCCAGCCTAGAAGACAAAGCAAGACCTATCTTAAAAGAAAATTATTTTAGTATAACAATTTCTATTTCTTTAGTCAATGTGGCCACTTTCTCTATATTTCCCAGCTATTATTTCCTCCTTATGGTTTAGTAATGAGAATGGTGCACAGCATTTCAAGATTGGAAGATATTTTTTAATGAGAAAAATAAATCATTTTCATTATTTCTCATGGTAAATATTTATTCGACAGTCTGGAATTAGAATGCTGCTAAAAAATTAACATGTTAACACAGAATTATAATTACATATAAATATGAAATAATTTGGTTCAGCATTTCTCAATTCCTGCAAAACAGTTTTAATGCTAATTAAGCACACTATATCACCACTTTACTGTATTAGTAATTCCATAATGGAAACTAAGTTTGAGCTAAGATCAATTTAAGTTCAAAATTTGTGTTCTTTCCATTTCTCTCTGCTGGATTATACCAGAATAAACTTCAAAATGAAGCTTGAACAAGAACAAGGTTCAAGAAATCAAACTAATTCATTATTGAATATGTTGCCTGCAATGAAGAACAGAAAAAGGACATTAGGTTAAAAACTAAAGAAATCCAAATAAAGTATGGAATTCAGTTAATAACAATGTATTAATATTGCTTCGTTATTTCTTCCTATTTGCTAATTCCATCTGCACATACACACACACACAAATTGTTTTTGAATACAGGATCTTGCTTTGTCTTCCAGGCTGAAATACCATTGCACCGTCATAGTTCACTGTAATCTCAAACTCCTGCCTGCTATAGGAGCAAATAGCAGAAATTATCTATGGGTTATAGATTGGGTATCTCCCTGTACTTTATAATTTTTCTGAAAATCTAAAACTTTTCTGAAATAAAATTTTACTTTAAAAACAGGCATGAATACTAGAAGAAAATTAATTTCAGTGGTATTTGAGATATTCCATATCATAGATAAAGAAAGAATTCCTTCCATTTTATTCGTGAATGTATATAACTTTAATGCTAAAACATGTTCAAAAATCTACCAAAAAAGAACAGTACAATCAATCTCTACCATAAATATGTATCTAACAAATAAAATGAAACTGTAGCAAACAGAATCTAGCAATGCTTTTATAGGATAATATATTGACACCAAATTGGTAAATTCTGTAATTGCTTGGATAATTCGGTTTTAGAAAACCACTACGTAACCTTCTACATTAATTATCAGAGAAAACAATGTATGTTCATATCAATAGATGAAGAAAAGACAGTTGAGTGATCCTCCTACCTAGGCATCCCAAAGTATAAAAAAAAGAAAAGGCATTTGATAAAATTAAAGGGCTATTTCTAATGATAGTTCTACATTTTATGGAAATCGAGGAATGCTATTATAATATAATAAAAAGTACCTTGAAAATTAAAATCAGTAAATATTATCCCAAACAGCAAATACTTATAAAATTAAAAACAAATAGAAATGCCTCTATCATAATTATTATTATCTAATAATGGTGTGTCAGGCTTGCTTCGGGAGTACATACACTAAAATAATGGTGTGTCTATTGAATACAACAAAATTAAGTGAAAAAATGATATTAATTGGAAAGCAAGATATAAAAATATCTCTTTTTGCCTATGATGTAATTGGATACCAAAATAGTACAGGAAAATGTAATAAATTACCCTAGAATTACAAGAGAATTAAGTGCAGTGACCATATTCAAGTTAAATACATCAAAATCAGTAGTTTTTATCTATTCTAACAATTACCTAAAAAGGAAATTGGAAAAAAATTATTTTCAATAAAGGCAAAAATAATGACAGAATTATGCAAAGGAAAGGCATAGAATCTAAACAAAGAATATATGAACAAATGGAAAGACATCAAAGTTCAATAGAAAAACAATATTAAAGTATTAATTCTCCACAAATTAATATATTATCTTTTATAATTCCAATTAGAATCCATCTGATTTTTTTGATATAATAATGTGGGAGAATAGAGAGTATGAAAAAGAAAAATGAGCTGGGCGCAGTGGCTCACGCCTGTAATCCCAGCACTTTGGGAGGCCGAGGAGGGTGGATCGTGAGGTCAAGAGATCAAGACCATCCTGGTCAAATGGTGAAACCCCGTCTCCGCTAAAAATACAAAAATTAGCTGGGCATGTTGGCGCATGCCTGTAGTCCCAGCTACTCGGGAGACTAAGGCAGGAGAATTGCCTGAACCCAGGAGGCGGAGGTTGCGGTGAGCCGAGATCGCGCCATTGCACTCCAGCCTGGGTAACAAGAGCGAAACTCCATCTCAAAAAAAAAAAAGAAAGAAAGAAAAAGAAAAATGGTGAAGAATAACTCTGATTTCCATAAATTAGAAGATACAGTGGCTATAAAGTCATTATAACCATATCAATGTGGCATTGGTATAGAAAAGACAAATGGATCAGGAGAACTAAAGAAAGAATCCAGAAATGTTTCCTAGTGTATGTATTTTAATTTGCTCA